AAACTATCGCTATTTCCCACGTGAGGAACCTGAGGCTTGGCGCCTTCACCAAGGAGCAACCCAATCTTACAGGTAAGGACCCCTAGGCGTGAAGAAGTTACGGAACTTGCCCAAATTGCAGAGCTAGGAAACAACAGCATTGAGTGTCAACTAGATTGTCTGACTAATTATCCTCATAAAATAAGTGTTATTACATTCTGCTGAGCGAGAGCCAAGACTAAGAGCAGGAGTGTGGAAGGGGATGGTCCCAGGAAGAGCCAACACGGACAGTGCCCCAGGTAGCGAGCAGAACGCAAGGTAGGGACGTGAGAGGTGTGGAGATGGATGGACAACGTCCTACCTCCCCAGACCCCTCATGTGAGCCGGTGGCCATAATACCAGGAGAGGGACTGGGCCACAGGGAGCCATTCATACCCAAAACCTCTCTAGCCCAAACCCTTACCAAGGCTCGAAGTCTGTCTCCTTCCTCAGCCCAGTCCCGCTCTGATAGGCGGAAGGGCTTCCCCACGTGGATGGGAACAGGAGCAACACCACTGGCATGGGGACCTCCCCGGCCCAGGCAGAAAACGAGAAGAGCTTCTGGAAGCAAGCAGCTTCCTTCCTCCTGTCTCGGCCTCACAGGTATGCAGGCAGAGAAATGGCCTCAGCAATGGGAACCAGTGAGTAAGGCTTAACCTTCCTGGTGGCAAACACTCCAACAGGGACATCACAGACCCTCCACCACTTTGAGGAAGATGAACATCTCCTCCCTGGCACCCAGCTCTGGCGAGGACAGAATGGCCACGGGGAAAACTCGTGGGCACTTCAGGTTTCGTGCCCAGACTCCTCTTGTTGTCCCTGCCCACCTCTCCCACTCTTTGTCCCTCAGAAAGCAGCCTCTTTCTTGCTCAAAAAACCCCCAACCCCCATCGCTGATTGCAGCTGCCCACAAAGCCCCAGGGAGAAAACCTTCCAAACAAGGCAATGATTGGATAGACCAAGACGCAGAGAGGAGCTGATCCTTCCCAGGGCAGAGACAGATGCTCAGAGCCAGGGGAGACCGGGCGGCTGAATGAAAACAGCAAGGCCATGGTGGTCTTCTGGCTGCATCAGCAAAGGGAGGGTGTATTTTAGAGGGGGGTTTCCTGACTCCCAGCTTCTCCCACGGCAGTCCTAATCAGGAGAGGATTTGAAGTTCTAAGACTTGCTGACAGGCCTTATGGTTTGTTATGAGTTTCCTTAGAAAAATTAAACATTGAAAAACAAAAACTGCCTCCCTCCCTCCTTTTGTGGTCAGCGACATCAGAGGTCAGGAACTTAACAGGCTTGCTCATCAGCTGAGCGCCGCCTGTCCCAGGGGGCACCAAGGCAGTGACCTCAACTCACTTGGGCAACACTCCCCTTCTTATTAATAATAACCCAGGCTGAAAAGGTAGAAGGAAGGTTTCCAGGTTACTCAGAGAGAAAGGTGGGGGCAGGGGTGGCTATTAAAGGTCCAGTCCCCAGTGAAACCGGATGTTACATAAAAAAGGTAAAAATAGCCAAGACCGGGGGAAGGTCCTGAGCACAGAGGTGGGAGGTTCCGGCCCGGCTGTGCGAACTTGCGAATTACCTCCCTCTCCTGGGAGACTGGCACATGCTCTCAGTGCCATCTCCATTAACCCCATTTTAGAAACTGGGAAAGTACAGCATGGTTACCTATCATTATCCTGCCTATCTCTCAGGGTTGGTCAGGGGATAAAATAAGATTATGAGTGTCACATGCTTTCAAAATAGAAAAATCTCAATGTGAGTCGAATATACTGAAATTTTTCTGGATGTGGTATAAACAAATAAATGCAAATGTAAGGTGACTCTATTCTACAATTACCATGATTACTACTATTATTGCATACTCTTTTCTTAAAGAGCAAGGGTCAATATGCCCTAGTACTTTTTTTTTTAATCCCACAGTGCCACCAAAACATCTCCAATCTAAACAAATTAACGTTGTTGTCCTGAATGACTCATCCTGTGAGGACAAGAAATCACCTGAACGTGCGGAGAGAGAAGTATTGAGGGGACAGAAGGAAGGATGACAGGAAAAGGAAAGCATTTTAGTCTACGGTTGTTGCTATTCATATTTCATTGTTTACAAAGAGAGGAGTACTCTTGATATTATACTTTTTTTTTTTACAATAAGTTGGAGCAAAACTCTGAAGATGGACATTTATCTTCTAAATTAAAAAGAAGTAGAGGCTGAGCGCAGCGGCTCATGCCTGTAATCCCACACTTTGGGAGGCTGAAGTGGGAGGATCCCTTGACTCCAGCAGTTTGAGACCAGCCTGGGCAACAGTAAGACTCTGTCTCTACAAAAAATAAAAAAATAAAAAAATTAGCCAGGCACCTACAAAAATTTTTAAAAATTAGTTCCAGCACCTGTAGTACTAGCTACCCAAGAGGCTGAGGCTGGAGATCCCCTGAGCTATGATCACCCCACTGCACTGCAGAAGTGAGAATGAAATTATGTTAGTGACTAAAAAGAAATATAAATACTGGCCTATACCCTTCCCCTGCAGCTGTAGAGAAGAAAATGAGAAGGAAATTCTACTGGAGTCTTCCTCTACTTTGCTAGACTCAAACCCCTTCTTCCTTTTCCACCCTTGACTATCAGGCTAAGAGGGAGCTGGTCTACCTTCCAATGAGTACTCAGGCTTATATAAGAATTTCTAGACCAGTACGGTGGCTCACGCCTGTAATCCTAGCACTCTGGGAGGCTGAGGCAGGAGGATCGCTTGAGCCCAGGAGTTTGAGGTTGCTGTGAGCTAGGCTGGCGCTACAGCATTCTAACCCAGGTGACAGAGCAAACTTTGTCTCAAAAAAAAAATAATAATAATAATTTCTAATATTTCCCTTCACTTTATGGTTGCCAAATTTAGCAAAGATTTGGGATACACTTATACTAAAAATTATGTTTTATTTAATTCAAATATATCTAGATGTTCTGTAGTTTAGATTTTTTTATTTTTATCTTTTAATTTTTTAGAGACAGGGTGTCCTACTGTGTTGCCCAGGCTGAAGTACAGTGGCTATTCACAGGCACAATCATAATGCACTACAGCCTCCAATTCCTGGGCTCAAAGGATCCTCTTGCCTCAGTCTCCTGAGTAGCTGGGTCTACAGGCTCCAGCCGATGTTCTGTATTTATCTGGCAACCTTAACTTCATCTCCACCCACCTGAACTCCAACGGGCCTTCTCTTTGCTTGCAATGTTTGTCAAACTTGCTATCATAACAACCCATTCTGATGCAATAGATCCAGGGTCCATCCTTGGAGACTTTATTTCCAACAAGAAGCCCAGGCGATTCTCACCACCAGATGAGTTTGGAAGGTTCTAGACTCCAGCATGGTGCCACTGGAACCAAGACCACAAGTTCAATCTCTGTATTTAGCTGGCGTCTTGGCTAGATTTACAGACCAGAGACTGCACGCCACTCCAACCTGTGTCAGTATCCAACCCTCCAAGAACACACCCCACGCAGATGGGCCCAAAACTCCGTGCTCATCCACATTGGCTATGTTTTCCCATTACCCAGCCAAGCACTCGCTATACACACCCAAGAGCTGCTGTCCTCTAGGACCAAGGGAAAGCTGAGCCCAACCAGTTGTTTTTCCAGGCACTGCCAGCTTGCCTGGAACTGCCAAGGCAGGGGACAAAGAAGTACACAGGGCTCTCCAGGGTTTGATTATGTGCCAAATTACATGCAAAATGGACTAGATAGCTGACCTTTGGTTTTTTTAAGTCAATAGCCAAAGTGCTTTTAGCAGTTACAGTTGGCCTGTGCAGGGGAAGCCCGGCTTCCTTCAGGAAAAGAACAGCAGCTATGTACAGTCCGGGATTCCCACCTCCCTCCCTGGTAGACACATTTTGCCCACGCTGGGCTCCTCTGCCCTCCCTCCTCTCCCCTCCTTCCTCTTGCTTAGAGATAGTTGTGCTCATTCACTAAACCTTTGGCTGCTACTATTTTTTTTTTTTTTTTTTAGAGATGGGGTCTCACTCTGTTGCCCAGGCTAGAATGCAGTGGCCTGATCATAGCTCACTGCAACCTCAAACTCCTGGGTTCAGGGGATCTTTCTGCCTCAGCCTCTCAAGTAGCTGGGACTACAGGAGTGCACCACCACACCCGGCTAATTTTTTTTTTAATCTTTTGTAGAGACAAGGTCTCACTACATTGCCCAGGCTTTTCTGGAACTTCTGGGCTCAAGTGATCCTCCTGCCTCAGTCTCCCAAAGTGCTGGGATGAGAGGCGTGAGCCACCGTGCCTGGCTAGTTATCACTACGTTCATGTTCCTGTGCCATTCTCCCAGCAAATGTCTCATGGACTTTCTACCTCCCTTCATTAGTTTTCTTTAGTCCTGGCTGCACCCATTTCCTCACCGACTCTAACCTCCATTCCTAGGCTGGTCCTACCTCATGCTCTGATCCTACCCTTTGCCCTTCCCTTTGCCCTTCCCTGACCTACCCCTGGGAACAAGATTCACCAGTCACCCATAAATATTCTACATCTGTGTGGCAGAAATCTGGACACGTGACCTAGGAGCTTTGTCTGGTCAGATCTCAGCCCATCTCAGCTACACGGAAGATCAAGAGGGGTGAAGAACAGCAGGGGGAAGGGGGAACAGGACAGACTCTTCAAGAATGTTTCCTTTTGCCCCAGACTCTCTGAGCTAGGGAAGGAGGCGGGGAAGCACCCTCTGAGTGACACTAGGGTTTCTGCCCTGGCTGCCCTCCGCTCTAGTAGGTGTCAGGCCATCCAAGCCAAACCAGGCACCCTCCCCATTCAGCTCTCCCTTCTTCCAGGATTCAGCTGCAGAATTGCAACTTCCCTGTGAAAGAAGCTTAATAACATCATAATGGCGGCCAAAGGAAGGAGGATAGGGCAGATGAGAAGGGAGGGGGCTACACCACAAACTTGAGCAGCCAGTTCAGCCCACAAGGGGAGGAGAACCTGCAGGTGGGGGTTTGGGGGAGAAAGGGACTCATCCATCTGCCCTCAACCCCCACCCCCTGCCCCAGGGAATGTTTCATTTGCTAAATGAAGTCAATGTGGCCCAGATGTTGGGCAGCTGCCTCTGGAAGCAGTTCTCGTGCGGAACAGCACAGAGGCCAAAGCCGCGTGTTAAGCCGGCCTCTGCTGTTCTGGCAGCCCTCCTGGCCAGCGCTAAACACAACCTCCCAGCTCCCTCTCCTCCCCCAGGCTGCCAGGAAGGTTGCCTTTTTAGGAAACTCAGATAAGCAGACAGAGAGAATGAGGGGCCGGGTTGAAACGATCATAAAACTGTAGAGGGCAGGGACTTGCTGTGTGACAGGCAGGACACCTCAGGTAGCCGAGAAGCAGCCAGCCCAGGAGCTCAGGTAACCACCTGCCATGGATGGCCATGACTCAGCCTCAGACAGTAATCACTGGGAATCTCTCCAGCCACCTTCGCCCCACCCCCACCATCCTCACAGCTCCAAATTTCTGTCCCAGCCACAAACACAGCCATTGCCTCAGACACTCCCATTCCCTGGGGCCCCAGACACAACAAACTCTCTGCCTAGACACAGCTGACCCTTTCCTGTCACCCTCCCATCCTCACCAAGTGGCCCAGCTCCTTCCTTCATTGACACCTGGGAGAGGGGAGGAAGGAGGGAAAGAAGAGAAAGAGAGAGGAAAGGGCAAAGCCAGGGGGCCCAGTCATCAGAGAGAAGGGAAGAGAAAGGATTCTCTGACTAAATGTCCCCACACACAAATGCAAGATTCCTCTTCTATCTGCCTTTTTAAAATTCTAGGAAAAAGTAACCAGCACGCACTCCATATCCACACCTGTGCTGCCTCTCCTTTCGAGACCTAAGGCCCTGCTTCCCCGGGATGTTCCACCCCGACAAAACCAAATGTAGTGCGGTAAGGGGTGGCAGGAGTTACGTTGAGACCGGGAGGCCCAACGAAACTGGCAAGGGCTGGAGGCTGCGCGGTAGACTCAGGATGATCTTCCCAGAAACATCCCCATGACAGCTCGTCACCATCCACCAGTGGAAAGGATTCATCCTAGTTTTGCTCAGAAGGGACAAGGGGCTTGTGTATTTAAGAGGAAGGGGATAACCTCATGGGTCTGTTCTTACTCAAAAGCAGCTAAGTCTGGGAAGAAACAAGGTGGGGTGTCTGCTCCTTACCTCATCTGAGCACCAGGCACACACGGGACTCGCAGCCAGACACTGTTGGCAGGAGCTCACACCTCGTGTGCTACAGATGTTGGGCCCTGCAAGAGAGAGACAAAGGCATTAGCACCTGACTTGGCTCAGTGAAGGTACTGGCCTGCCCTATCCTTCCCAACTTTCCCCAGCGCCCAGGTGCTGGGCGCTCAGGTGCACACAACTACACTCTAACCATACCACAGATATTTACAAACGCAGGCTACTGGTAAGGAGGCAGGAGAATGAGGAAGATTGGGTGAAACTCATCACCGCCCTCAATTAAGGGGGCCACAGTGATAGCAAGTGATGGGGCAAGGCTAAGCCATGAACCCAAGTGTCCGATAACTGACGGAAAGGCTTTAATTAACTACTGGCTTGACACCTGCACTATTGTGCAAATAAAAATCTGAGGCCCAGAAAGGTGGCAATATGTCCTCTCTTCAATTATTCTAGTGACATTCACAGCCACTACACAGGGGCTGCAAGGCCCAGAGGCACTGACATCAACACATAGATTAAATGTGGTCCGTGCGGAGAGGGCGGGGTGACCTCAGCGGCAGTGTTCCTCTGGCCTGCTAGGGGAAGCACATCTTCTGAAGTCTTCCCAAGCTTCCCAATTCATATATCTTGGAATCCAAGCATAAAATGCTGCAGGAGGAACGGCAGAAATGTTAGAAAAGGCTGACGGATAGAAACTGGAAGAACGTGGAATTTGGGGGTTGGAAGGCCTGTGGTTGAATTCTGAATGCTCTTCTTAACTATCTGTGGCATGATCTTAGGCAACTCACCTAAGCTGCATGAAATGACAATATCTATCTCACAGGATTTGTGCAAGACTTCAATGAGTTAAAGGGAGGCACTTGGCATGCTATACAGTGTCGTTCAAATGCGAACAGTCCCCATACTGTCAAAGGGCAGAGAAAAGGCTGCGGGGAGAAGCAGGGACAACCAGGGGAACCAAAATAGCCCTGAGAAGCTCAGCGGGGAGGCCAAACCCAGGCTCTGCTTGGACAGAAGCCACTGTGTTCTCTGCTTCCCCAGCTCAGCTTTCCTACCTCAGCCGGGTAAACCCTTCTTCCCACAGTGCCTCAGGGAGCCTTTTCCAATGCAAGGGGCAGAACATGGGAGATCCATTCCTCCTCATGCTCCAGCATCCTGACAGTTCTTTTATGCAGTATTCTAAAGGGGCCCATTTGTCCCCAGCCTGTGAGACCTGCAAATCTATTTTTGGAGAAATCATCCTGACCATTGGGATGTTTTCCCAGTGTCCCCCAAAATTCTCACTAAGTGTCTTAGTCCATCTTATTATAATGTGACTGAATGCCCTCCCTCCAAACACCTGGACAAAAACATACTCAGAAAATGGTGTATACACTCACACACACACACACACACACACACACACACACACACACACAGAATATTGCTAAGAAAAATTATATAAAATGTGGAAATGAAGTGAAAAATTGAAAAATTCCACTAAAGTGGAAAATTCCACTACCGGGCTTTGTCCTTTGCATTCCTTACCTGAGGCTCCTCCTCCCCTGGGACCTTTCCCCTCATAAATCACCTGTAGCAATTAGTGTACCAGGCTGTAAAGTAGCTTAGGACTCTGCCTCACTAAAGTTAACCCTGTTGTAACCGTGCCCCTCCCCCTTAAGCAGAGTGTATAAATGACTGCAGTGCTCTTTGTCTGGTGCTCAGAATTTGGAGGGAAAAATCCCCATCTGAGCCTGCTGGCGTATAAACCTGTTTTTTGCCAATATTTCTGTGTGTGTGTCGGTCTATTCCCGGTCTGCCGTAACAAGCAAAGGTAATACTGGGTGTAGCTTCAATGTAATGCAGGGTGTTGACTAGTGGACCCACCATGCTTATAGACTATCTGATTTTCTAGGAATGTGTACCTTGGTTCAACTTGTACTCGTTAGGATATTTTACAACTCTGTAAGAGTAGAGGATAACTTGTAGAAAACCAATAGCAATGGAAATGATTCTTAATGAAAACAATGCTTGTGATTCTTATGCAACAACAATGCCAATGATTTCTGTCTGGTAGAAAAGGTAACCCACAAAGGTTAAGGTCTATTGCCTTGTAGAACAGGCATTAACCAGTTTTGAATCTATTAGATAATTCATTCAAGCATTCCTTTGACTAACCAACTATAACTCTCTTTCGAACTAGTCCTAACATCTTACTGGCTCCTCATTAATTAAGATGAATAAAATCTCTGACACATGTTCATTTTATGTTTGTTATGGGAATCATACTTTTAACTCTTTGAAAATCATACTTCGACAGTATCCATTTCAGAGCCTCCCTACGGGGCAGGAAGGTCTAACAGAATGAATACACACACAATCAGTAGAAATCGGTAGACTGTGGTCCTAATTGAGCCACCCACTAATAGCTGGCCTTGGGTGAGTCTTTAACTCCTCTTTGCCTCAGTTTCTTCAATCCTAATATTCCTACAATATTGTAACTACTTCTTTATCTGCCTTAACAACACTGCCACCCAATAGATTTTAAGTTCCTGGAGGCCTGCTCGGGCCTGCCAGCCCAGCTCCAGTTGTTGTCTAAAGAAGATGCTCAGTAAATATGTATTAGAGCAAAGCGAATGGTAGTGGACTAGATCAGGTTTTGTTTTGTTTTGTTTTTTTAAGCAACTGAGCTCATTTCTCAAAATTATGCATAGAATTCCAATATAGAACATGTAAATGCATTGCAATGGTTCCTCAGACAATTTAAACTTTCATTTTTCTCCCAAAAACACTCGATTATGTGTGGAATCCTTGAAGTACCTCCTGGAAGCCCCAGGTTTCCTCAGAGCCTTGAGTCTGTCTAACTTCAAAGGCCTTGTCCAACTCTAAAAAATTCTACAAGTAGGAGGCCACTATAAGCCCAGAAGTAACCTCTGGGGCTCCACCCTCTTTACAACTTCAGCGTGTGAACGTGAGGACTATGGAATGGGAATTACGATGTTGGTTGCAGGCCTGGCCCTAAAGCATCAAGGTCACCTCTGAGGTGGGGCAGTCCCGAGCCACGCAATGTCTGTAACGGAAGAAATGTAACCACCAGATTCAGAACACGTGAATGTTCATAACAAACAATGCAACCCAAGGCCTCTCCCTCCAAGGATTGGCTGGCCGTCTCTTAGCCTTATAATTGCTCTCCCCCCAGGCAGATGTGAGCACAGTATCTCTTTATTGCCCCATCACAGAGTTCTGAGAGGAGCCTGAACTATTTTCTTAATAGATATCTCCCTTCCTTTTTGGAATTTCCTTGGGAATTGGCATCCAGGGGGATAATTCTGGACATAAATGGTGTCGATTTTCACCAGGAGAGAGGCATCAGGAGCTCTCAGGAAGAGTCAGAAGAGGGACAAGGACCGTGGGAGGAAGGGGCACTGTCAAATTCTTTTTAAAGACTTTTCCCAGTCTACCCACTTAACCATCCATTCATTCTCAAATTAGCATTTCCTTATGAGTCCTTGCCTTGTAGCCACAATAGAAAGCCCTGCCAGACACAAAATAAATAACAGCAAGCCCCTCCCAAGTGAATGGAAGTCCCTGACCCCAGAGGATGAAATGGGCTGTCAGGATTTGTCCTTTCGAAAGTCATGCCTGGGGAGTCATGGTTATCCAGTTCCCCTCATCCCCTCTTTTTAATGAATCACAGGCTGATTTCATGAGAACCGATGATCCCCCGCACCCATGATACCCCCAACCAAGTCCTGCTACCAGCACAGGCTCCCTGGAATGCAGTGGTTAAAAGTGACTGACTCATCAGAATTCCCTGCACTGGGCCCAGGCGGATTCAGTGAGCTGTTGCTCCCAGGCCGCCCCTCCCTCCTGAACATGTGGAAGGAGTTTGGGCCTCTGTTCCTAGTCATTCACAACGCTTATGTTCCTGCTCAGCCTCTGGGGCCCAGACTCAGCCCTGCAGAAGTGGGGATCTTCACCAGGATGTCACCAAAAGAATGAACAACTCTGACAGTTTCCTCTGACAGTTTGTTAGCCAGAGCCAGGAAACAAAGTGAATTGGCCCTGATCCTCACAGGGTGGTTGTAAAGTTGAAATGAACCAATCCCTGAAAACTTTGAGCACAACAGCTGATGCACAGGAAGTCCTCCATCTATGGGCAGCTGCTGCTACAGTTGCCAGTTGTTTTTATGGTTACTGTTTCTATCCTGAGTCTCAAGGTGTTTAGGGCAGGTGAATGTTTTACTTTTTTTTTTTTTTTTTCCCTTGAAGACACCATTCTACAGGACGCTAGACACAAAGCTAAGCATGCCCTGAACTGGAAGTGGGGTGGGGGGAGCGCAGAGCCAGAAAGTATCAGGCTGGGGAAGAATGATCAATTGTCAGATCTGGCCTCTAAATGGAGTTAGGAATATTAGTGTTCAAAAATCCAATGTAGGAACGATGGCCAAGAAGCAAAGGCCAATGAGAAAAGATAAACAAGGCCAGCCAAGATGTTTGCCTGGAAAGTAGACATAGAAGGCTGTGGTTTGGCACATCAGCTTGAATCACAGAACCAGAAGAAAGAAAGACAAAGGGTGGGAAAAACAGAGAAAAAAAAGGAAACAAGGAAGGGAGTTGGAACCCGTGGAAGTCATAATGCGTCAACGGGGGCTATTTTGAGGACATGTTGTCCAATGAGACAGGATGTCAGAATGTAGGCATAGGCCACCCTAATGAGTCCACGGGACTTTAGGAGAAGGCTAAGTCAGAGTGAGAGGTGTTTAACGGGAAGGGAGGATGATTCGTACTGCAAACACTATGAACATCTCTCTTACTGTCTGCCAGAGAGGAGTTCCAGCCTGGGTCCCCTGCCCGGCTACTGACCTTTGACCGATCACTTCCCAATTAGGTCCATGGGGACAACGGGTGACTCAGATGGTGCCTGATCTTCCATTGTAGTCACCTGGCTGAGTGACTCACTGAAGAAAAAAACATCTCATGCTAACTGCCCTATGTATGTGCAAGTGGTTTCTCTAGAGCGAGTTTCTAAGAAAGTTTATTTTACTTTTGTTTCTTCCTTAAACATAGCAGCAGCTAAGTAACC